AATCAAGTGAATCTATCTAATTTTCAAAACTGATTCAATCTAAGTAAAAAAAAAAATAAATAAGAAAATGCTGTTCCCACCACAAAACACTAAAAGAAAAGTTAAATTTCGAGACTTAATTATATAGAGTGGGTTTGGCCGATTGTTTTCCAAGTTTGCAGAGATCCTGTGAAAATTATTTCTAATTTATTTTTTGGAAATGTTATCGTTGCATCTGTTGTAGTAACATGTAATCAGTAATGACTGCAGAACACATAAAGCAGAGAAGAGAGATTCGAGTTTAGCTTATGCTGTAGGCGTATCCTATGACCGATTTGATCCGCTCTTAATAACAATCTTTTTGCCAAATTCAAAGCTGATATATTAATTTTTATGACCGGCAGAATTTTTACCACAAACAGACACACAAAAGGAAGGACGGACATTCATATATATATATTCGGAAGTTGTTATTGATTACAAGCACAGATACTTTAGGGTTTACCTGAGGTTTACCTTCTTCCGGAACGTTTTAACAAGATGATCATGTCTTTATCTTTTAGTGTTGAGTAAAAAAATACCAAACTATATGTCAATGACTTATATATTATTATATATTGTCTGAGTTTTTAGCCAAGTATGGACAACGAATTCTAAAAAAAACTCTTTTGTTTGTTTCAGAATTAAAAAGAAAAAAAAACAAAAGATTCTTTATAACTAAATGGGTTTATTGTAAAACTTGCTAATGATGTACATTATATACAAACATATATGCATAGAATTTTTATATCTATCCCCAAAGTATGAGAATATACTCATTTTGTTAGAACGTTTGTAACACCTAGAAAAGAGCATCAGGGTTTCTATAGAAATGCTTCATCGGTATCAAATTCTGAATCGATTTATGCGTGTCCGTCCGTCCATCTCTATTTTATCTGCGATAAACATTCGCTTGGCTGTAAAAATTAGAGATATTACTATAACAATATTGGCAGTTCCTGTAAGCTGATTATTGTTGAAAATGGGCAAAATCGGTTGGAAGACACGCCTACCGTATCATCTAAACTGAAAAAACATTGCTTTCAAGCCCAAAAAAGAATAGGCGTTTTACTTATTATTTTTAAAATTTAAATTCCACGGACGATCTCTGGATGGTATCTCTGCAAAATGGGCAAAAAGTACAACGCCCACTCAATATTGTAAGCTATCGAAATTTCATTTTCTTCGAGTTTGTCTTAAGATAAAGATGGTGAACATGGATGGTTCGGCCGTAGTTTATCATGCTCTTATTTGTTTAGATTTCTTGTTTTTTTTAATTTTTATTTACTATCAGGTTTTACAATTTTAATTAATATAAACAATTGACAAAGTATGCGACATTATCTTAAGATATTCCAACAACAGAGTGCTTTTTATTTTAGAAAAAAAAAAAAAAATAATAATAATAATAAAAAAATTAGGTGATGTTAATAAAAGACTAATAAATCAAGAAAAGCTAGTAAAAATGCCATAAACGTATATATATATATATATATATGTATATATAAGAAATAGTAATAAAAATCAGCTTAAAAAAAAAATAAACTACCGTAAAAAGGTAATAACTTAATTAATAAGATAAAAGAAATAAAATCGATTTAATCACATATCTAAGATGATTGATGTTTAATAGTTTAGTTTACATCTCTCTTCCAAACAATTAGCGAAATTGTCAATACAGTGCTTAAGAACAGATTGCTTCAAAGTTCAACTATTGGAAATATTTTAGAAAGGCTGCGAATAATGTTGATGCTCTTAATTTAAATGATTTGAAAGCCGTTAACATGGGTTTCAGAGCGATTTTTCTACATCAGATAATCATAAGATTTTGTTTCAATTTTTTTGTTGCAATTTAATTGAATTTCCATAAATACGGAATTGAGATACAGCGAAGATTTAGCTGAATTGCGCAATTTGTACATTTGAAGCCTAAGAACCTAATTACAATTCAAGAAGTCTTAAAATATGTAAGTAAACAAGTAAGACCACTACAGTCAGGCAAGGCCGAATATATAGAACACAAGAATTATACGTTGTTTTTATATAAAAGCATATTTTTTATGTGAGTATTTATGGGGAAGGTGGCCTAATGTATCACAAGTTTAATCCTTACATCGGGCAGGATGCAAAAATAGGCGTAGTTGATCTAAATTTTTATATGAAATTAATAATATGGGTCATGTTTCATCACCACATGCAAAAACTCAGACCTTTCCGCTCTACAAATAATCAATTTTCGTAAAAATCCTTACTGGGGTAGAATTCAAAAAATAAACCGAGATGGTCCAAATTTGTTAATATGGTTAATTTTTTATGTCATATTACTGCTTTGATATAATTTTCATCATGAAGCATTGAAAGTTATACCTTTTTGCCGTATGAACTCCAGCTTTCGCTATACGAGTGGGTGTTCACAAACTGACAATGCTAGTTCAAAGTTCTCATACCAATTTTGAATGTCGAAATGCTACTACTTAGCCTCTTTTAACGGGAAATTTTGAAAATTGCAATTTTTTTCCATATAGCGACTTTTCCGAATAGGGCATTGTATGGGGTGCAGTTCGTCCTTGGGGCAAAACACGTCACTGTACTAAATTGCATCAAAATATCTAAAGAATTGCGACCTGTAGCGTGAACATAAGTTTACATGGACAGACGGACAGACAAGCCTAGATCAATTCAGATTACGATTCTGGATCCATCGGTATAATTAAAGGTTAGTCGATCTTAAGCCATTCGGCGTGTTACGTACATTCGCACCAATTTAATATATCCTGTATCACAAGTGCTGTAGGGAAAATGTGTCAATCAATTACTCATCAAACTCCGTATCAGGATTTCAAATAACATTATTGTTTAACTATCAGTTTAAGAAAGTCGGCAAGGCACGGGCATTAAGAAGAGCAGAAGATCCGATAAGAATATAAGGTTAGAAATAAACACCATTTAGACTGCTACTGAGAACACTAAGCGGATTAAAAACCTCATAATTTTAACCTGCATTGGTTAAGTTTACTGAAAAAAGAAGTACGAAGTCGTGATTTAGGAAAAGGGTAGCGCATCAATCAGCGTTAGTCAGCAAATTGTTTTCAAACACTTCCGAGTGATGGAAATAATTCAGAAGTGTTGCAAATGTTAAGTCGTAAGAAAGCGCATAAAGTTTTGCTCAAACGATACAAAAGATAGCCGTTCTTTGTATCCAAATGTCATTGGAGATGAAAAATAGATTTACTTTGAGATTCCCGAACGGAAAGATGATAGACCGATCACCGTAACATCTGCGTCGATGACTAAGCCAAATCGCTTTGGTAAGAAAAAGACACTGTGCACGTGAAATCAGAAGGGTAGGCTATCAGCTATCAAAATTTAGTGAAACGGGTGATATCAACGTTGCCAGCAACAACTAATCGATTTGAACGACACCTGATCGTTTTTTTCATGTCTATGCTTCATCACATGCGGCAAAACCGATTCACGACACGTTGAATAGAACTGGAAAGAGATAACCTACGTGTCGCGCTCTCCACGCTTGGATATTTCCAATTACTACTTGTTTGCCACGCACTTGGTAAGCAGTCCTGCGTAGGGGTTATGAATTCCACAACTTTTTAGCGCTTGCAAAGAAAAGCCTCAATGATACTAAATACTTATGGTCAGGCAGAATCATATTCATCGTCCGTTCAGATCTAGGAAACGAGATTTTTTCATATAGATGTCCAAGTGCTCGAGTATAGATGGACTTGAAGGAAGACTAGATTTTCTAATGTCGAGATACGTTTGAGCAAAATTTTACCCGATATTCTTCCATAGTGGCGTTTATTAAAAACACCTATTAATAACGCCATGCAACTTATCGGTAGAAATATGACCTAACCCACCATATACGTTCGCCCCATAAGATATAAGAGACACAACTAGACATTTGATCAGTCTTAACTTTCTAACGAGAGGAACATAAGATAAAGCAAGCCTCAGCTTCTTTAGAACACTGTGGATACGCATCATCATAAAATTAACATAATCCACAGCACTTAAGAGACAGTTGAGCCTGAACCTAACAATTCACTAACAAACTCAATAGCTTCACCGAACATTCTTAAAAGATGGCAA